AAGTCGAAGTCATCATCCAGTCAGTTTGGATGCTGTAAAATCAAAATTAAGTGAACGTACAGAATCTCTATACTCGAATTCTTTTAACATACCTGCATCAAGCAATGAACTGAATACTACAGCTAGCAATATCCTTGATTTGAGAATGCCAGCGAGAACGCTATCTCAGCTACCGTCTACATCCTCTCCAGTAACAAGTGGTGAGATATGTTACATATGTGGGCTGGAATCAAAATTTATATTTAATGTATTTGCAAAACCTGTTCCTAACTGCCCATATTTTCCCAGCCTCATGATGCATCCCAAACCTGTTAATGCAAAACCTATGGATAACAGTGGTAAAGTGAGTGCTTGTGACATGTGTCATAAATCACTGATTCAGCAATGGGATAGTTATCAGAGGCAAAATGTGCCACATCATGAACGGGCTTATCAGTGTAAATCTCTCACAACTTCAGTAAAACAGGAAATTCGAATGAAAGACAAATTATTTGTGTGTTATACATGTGGTATGATTACTCAGTTGTCTGCACAAAGGTTTATAAATGCCTATCCAGAAAAAGAAGGTGATCCTTTCTTTTCATTTCTTCTGAATGTTAATCCTCATCCTGGTGCAAATAAACTAGTAGGTGGAAAAGCCTCAGTGTGCTCTTTGTGTTATAAAACTTTGTTTCGTCAGCTTCGTGTATATAAATTGTCTGATACACCTGAAGAAAAGCGTAAGTATAAAATTGTAAATGAATCTGCATCAGATAGTTCTAGCATGCTTCGACAGCATCTGAAAAGCTCTAAAAATCGTAATGAAGAGAAATTTGCTTGTTATCTATGTGAATTAATATCAGAGTCATTAATTCTTGTCAATACATTACCAGTGGGGGATATTTACTTCCCGTTCATTAGGAGTTTACCTCAGCCTTCGAATGCAGGTCCTGTGGATAGTCAAGGATGTGTTAAAATATGCAAGCAATGCCATATATCTTTAACTTACCAGTGGGAAGCTTTTGAAAGAGCCTTTATACCCATTAATCAAAGACAATATAAAATACCAGGATCCAAGCTGCCAAATGTTGAAATCAAACCTGTTATAAATTCAATACAGCAGTCTAATTCTGTGGATCCATCTTCTTCCAGTTCTATCAACACAAGTAATCAAGATGAATATGCTTTAAAATTTGTTTCTAGTAGTAATGTTTGCAGCTTATGTGAATGCCCATTAAATTCTGAAAATGTTTGTTTTATAGAAACTGTACCTCAAGAAAAAAATATGTATTTTCCTTCTCTTAGACTACTTATCAAACCGAATAATCGAAAAAATATTGACCAGTATGGTAGAATCCTTGGATGCAACCAGTGTTATTTAATTTTAAAAAATCAGTGGGAAGTGTTTGAATCAGCGCATGTCCCTCATTCACAGAGGCAATATGAAATTTTTTCGTCTTCTCTGGAAAGAGAGCAGGGTGCACAATTTACAAATAATGTCTGCCTATCAAATGCAAGTGCAGCTCTACACATACAAGTGTCGTCTCCTGATATTAAGGTAGACCTATCCAAGCATTCATCTAATGTTGAACCATTGCTCACAACTGTAAATACACTGACTGTATCTAGTGTTACTGAAACCAGTGCTTCAATGTTGACTTCAGATAACAGTCCAAATGATATTAAAACACTATCTGGAAAACTTCCATGCAATCCAGAGGAAACAGTTCCTCGAATATGTGGTCCTTTAGATATCCCCTACGTTCGACCACTGTTTCTGATGCAAATTAATTGTTTTGTTTGTGGAGAACCTAATTCTTCTGGTCTTACTTATGCAATCAGATCAGGACCAATTGTGATGTCTAATATTGATAAAGTGTCAGAAGAAGTGCCATTTTTTCCTTTTCTTACAAAGCATCCACTGCCTGAAGGAGCAGAAAGGTTAAGTAATGATGGTAATGCTTTAGTTTGTATGTTTTGTTATCATTCTTTAATATCCCAATGGCTTGCCTATGAATCTTCTCCTTACCAAGAGGATGCAAATCCTTGGCATCGGCGCTACAACACTCATAATTATGTGTGCTATATTTGTGGCATCACAACTTATCGTAAAAGAGTATGTTCCATATCTGTTAAGGACTTTCCATTCCTATTGGAACACACTAGACCTTCTGGGGCTCTGACTCTTTTGAATGGAGAATGTGTTGTCACATGCCAAACGTGTTTTGAATCCATAATATCTCAGTGGAAAGATTTTGAAAGAATGAAAGTACCTGTGGAGATGAGGAAATATAATTGGATAGTTTTGCCTCCACCACCAGATGATGAAAACAGCAAAGGGTGCCAAATTTTGGTAAGTGGTTTAACAACTTACATGCTAGAAATCTCTTTCTGACAGTGTAAAGTGAATTTTGAAAAGAAAAATGGAAAAGTTATAAATTATGATAAAATATTACAGTATTTTTTGGTTGATCTTTGGATTATGGTAACTTGGCGAAAATTTGGCGACCAACTCTGCTACAGCATTCCTGTATTTTTTTTTTCCCGCCGCCATTTTGTCTTCACGAAGTAAAGACATGTTTTCTTTTCTTTTAATTTACTGAACACTTTTTCAACATCTACTAGCCAAATTACACTTATACTAGAAATTTTATCTAACAAAACTGCTTTCTCATGACCAATATTCACTGCAAAATTGGGAAAAGTGCACAATCGCAAACTCTTGCGCGTTTTCATAATAAAACACATAACATAAACCATGTACATGTCGACTATTTTTACTTAAAAAAAAATCCCAGAATTGCACAAAATGGCAATTGCGCACACTCTTCACTATATCCATGTACCACTGCTTTTTTCTCATAATTAGAAAAATTTCACGAAAATGCATGACAATTTTCTGAATCTTTAAAACCGGTAAAAAGAACATATATGAAATTACCTTATCGCGAAAAAGTATATACCCTTTCCAAATATGAATATTTCCACGTATAAAATAAATAAAATATCCAAAAACTTTTACGTCTAAATTATCTATTATATTATAAACGTCACCAACGAATTCATACCACAAACATTACAAATACTTAGTGTCAAATATTTAAATTATTTCCATGCACATTTACTTCAACTAAAACGTATACCAAATTCTTACAACGCATAAAATTCGCAAAATAACTATCATTTAATTAAAATATCACTAAACCATGTACACGTCCACTTGTTTTTACTTAAAAAAAAATCCCAGAATTGCACAAAAATGGCATTACGCACACTCTTCACTATATCCATTTACACTGCTTTTTTCTCATAAATTAGAAAAAATTTCACGAAAATGCATGAAATAACTACAACGTATACAATTCAAACGTATTCCAAAATACTACAAACATTCTAACTCAAAATCACGATCATTAAATTAAAATATAATTAAATTAAAAAACACTACTTTAAATAAGCACATACATTAAATTAATAAAAATTAGATTACAATCCTAATTACTGTAAACTAAATCATTGCTAATAATAATTTTTAAATAATACCATTTTAATTTATTTACTCCTTACATTTAGAACAATGCATAAAAATAATATCCTCAAATGATTAAAAATACTAACTTACCTAATCTTCACAATCTTCATTACGTCGCTGCAGTACTACTGCTAATTTCTAAATCCTAAATCCAGTAGTCAACTGGAAGTCTATTCACCAAGTAAATAAGAAATTAATAAAATTTCACCTATACTCAAACTACTCTCAGCAAACCACGTACCCTTCCTTACACTCCTTTTCACAAAATGTCCATTTTCACCATATTTCTTGCACCACCATTTAAACTTGTAATATCCTTCCTTTCACACAATCTCAACTCATTATTATTATCAGATAAACGCATTAAACATTTAGAATTCACTTTACATAGCACCATGCAATCCGAAAATTAATCAACACTATTTCACACCACACACAATGAAGCTTTTCCAAATTAACCCCCTTTTCCGATTAAAGAACTATAATTCGTCCATTAATGTCACGTTTCACACAACACAGAATATAGCTAAATACGAAATTTCCAGATTTCCCCCCTTTTCTGATTAAACAACTGTAATTCATCCATTAATGTCACATGACATATCTCATGATCTCTCATTTCCCTCACACAAAATAATGCGTTATTGGAACTGAGTGCTTCTCACATTATTACCAAAGTCCTAGGTAGTAACCTTTATCGCCTCCAAAATGTCGCCAAACTACCAGTTACCATATTCCAAAGTTCAGCCTATTTTTTTTATTAGAGACATTGATTTCTATAATTTCTATTAGTAAAATACATAATTATAGAAATCAAGTTAATAAATTTTGTTAATATGTGACACTTTACCATTCAGAAATATAAAGGTTAAAATCTCTGACAAAATATTTTCGATTAGAGAGTATATTAATTGATTAAGTAGGCCTAGGTACCAGAACAAGTGTAGTGCAATGTGAAACAGAATTTGGTAAAAATATATTTCAGGGTGCCCCTTGGTGATTTTTGGCATTTGACTAGCCAGGTACAATTTCAAGTTGGCTACTACATAAAACCAAAATAACTAGTCTGAAGAATTACACAAACTCAGTGTCCATGTACACATCGATCTATTTTCATCATTTTAAGAGAATGATGATGTCATATAATGTTAAAACAAAGTTACTCATCACCAAAATTGAACAAAATTTGTAGCCAATCGAAGCTCAATGAACTGCATTTTAAATCACATAATGAAAAAACATAAAAAAGGAAATGCACGTTATCGCATATATGCACTAGAAAAAGGCAATACAGTCAAAAGTCGTTAATTCGGACAGCCATAATCCGGACCTCAAAGCTAAAAACTTTCTGCGCATGCGCATAGGCGTTTAAGCGTGCGCGTAAGACCTTTACGACTGCGCATTTGCGTGTGCACAAGTGCAGAATACGTTTTTCGCTGCGCGTTTAATGTATAACGGATGGTATAAGCTAAAATTATCTAATTGTCTATTTCAGTTAATGTTGATGATTTTTTTGGAAAGAAATTTTCTGGAAAGAATTAAATATTCCATTTTTAGTGTTTATTCATGTTAATTTGTAATACTCCTCTCCTTTTACACCAGCTTTAATTTACAAAGATTATGAGAAAATGTAAAAAGTTTGAAATATTCTTCGCCAAGCTATATTGAGAACACAGGCCTAATTCATGTTTGTATTCTCAATGTAATTTGACAAAAAATATGTCAGACTTTTTTGAATTCATCAAAATTCAAAAATTAAAAAAAATTAAAGAAACAGCTACGTAAAAGGTGAAGTTTATTAAGTGAACTCATTTGAAAGGTAGGTAGTTTATAGATCAAGGTCAACATTACTGCACAGTCCAGTGGTTTTTGTCTTTGCTACAAAAAATACTTAAATTTGTCTGCCCATTCATTTAACACATGTGGAAAGGCATATAAAGGAGAGTTTCAAATTCTAATTTCAACGATCATGTAGTAAGTCGCATAAAAGTTTTGTATGTGCACAAAAGAACATGTCATTGGGAAGACATCTGAAAGAATGTGAGAAGTAATGTAGAATTGATAAAAGGGCAGCAGGCTAGACATTGGGTCTGTAAAGACTTAAAAGTTGTCGAAAAGATGTGTCAAGAATAAAAAAATGGTTTAAATACATTGGTGATGAATGTGGGTGACTAGGTCAAGGTCTTCCTGACCATAGCAGACTAGGAACAATGATTGGTAAAATAAATGAACAATTGACATCAGCTGAGATTACAAGGGAGTTTGCTGCAGCTACAGAAACTTGATTATGTCTATAACACATCACTCAGTAAGTCTCCTGTCTAGCTAAGAAAAAAAAAAATTTTTTTTAGAAATCCGACTTTATTCGTTAGCATACTGTCCTTCAAGAATGATGCATTCTTTCCAGCGCTTCTCTAATTTTGTTATGCCTTATTTGTAGAACAATTTATCTTTGCTTTCAAAATAATCCTTAGTTTTGGCAATCACTTCTTCATTTGAGCAAATTTCTTTCCCTAGAGTATCTTTTTGATGTCTGCAAATAGCCAGTAGTCGATGCAAGCCAGATCTGGAGACTACAATGGGTGGGGAAGCGATTCAAAGGGTAATTCATTCAATTTAACCATCATTTTCATTGACTTGTGACACGGAAGATTGTCTTAATGAAACAACACTTTTTCTTTTGGATGTGAGGCTTTTTTGGGTAGAGTAGACTTTAAGGTACCCCTTGTATTATGGCGAAGTTGTTGTTTGATTTATCGCCAAGTTGTTGTTTCACTTATGATAGCCTGAGTAGTTGAATGTTATGGAAACCCTAGTGCAAGAATCTGGGAAATTTTGAATCATGGGATGTTTTATAAGCATTTTTATGGTGTGTGTTGGTTCGATTCTTTAGACGGTAGAATGGCCGAATGTAGTAAGATTAATTTGAAGTTTCCGTACCATTTGGAGCTTTAATTGACTTTAATTGACTGCTTTAATCATGACTTTAATTGAGAGCTTTAATTGACTGTTGTGTAAATGAAGGTTTACTTAGTAGCCATTATAAGTGTCCTGTATGTAGAAAGGATATGCATCTAGTCGAACGTAAAAACCATTTAGATGGATTTGAATGGGTTTGTAGGAAGAAAGGTTCGGATGGTCACTATGTGAAGCGTTCGATGTATAACATGTTTTTCCTTTTTTATGTTATTTAATTGTTTGGTTTAAAATGCATTTGATTGAGATTATGTATTTTTGTTTGCCTATATTGTAGAATTGGGTGCTCCTTTGACTTTTAAGTGAAAATATATTGATGTGTACATTGACAAAGTAAAGGGAGTGTGCAATGCAAGTTTGTGCAATTCTGGGATTTTTTTAAAAGTGAAAATAGGTCGATGTGTACATGGATAAAGTTAAAAGAGTACGCAATGCCATTTTTGTGCAATTCAGGGATTTTTTTTTTTTTTAAGTGAAAATAAGTCGATATGTACATGGATACCGATGCAATTGTTTGTCTTGCTATTTTGGCTTTGTGTCTTGCTATTTTGGATTTTTGCCGCAAAAATCACCACTTCGCAAGCCAAAATAATGAGTCAAAGGAATTTCACAAAAACGGTGTCCATGTACAGCCAAAAATCGCCAAGTTTCGTCAAGGGGTACCCTAAACTATACTTTTACCGCTTTTTTTTGCTACACTTATTTGATCCAATAATGCCATATAATATTCGCTATTGATAGTTTTATCTTTCTTAAAATAGTTGATGAACAAAACTGTTCTTAAGATAGTTGATGAACAATAAAACTGTATTGAGCTCCTGTGTATATTGGTGCATTTGCAGGGA